ATGTCCATGGGGCAGGAGCCCTGGATTTCCTGCTGGGCAGTCTGGATAAGGGGAGGGTGAGCCCTGTGCTGACCTGGACCGATATCCAGGGACACCAGAAGGCCCTGGGTAACCCATGTTTAAGTCCCAATAAGAGAAGAAGGACACAGGATTGTGGTTTCACAGGCAAATCAGCCTCATCCCACTTTTCCTCAGGGAAATCAGGACCCTTGGCCAAGGTGGCTCTGGTGGCCGTTGTGGAATCTGCTGTGAAAATCCTGCTTCTCTGTCTCTGTCTCATCTTCCTCAGGTGAACGCAGCCCCACAAACCAAGGAGAGGGAAGGGGAGCGAGGGGACATGACCCTGAATCCCACCTCCCAGTGCGAGGAGGTCTAGAAAGGGAAGAGGGTCTGGGCCAGGCAGGAGGTGAGCTGGTGAGGAGAATCCCACATGGGCCATGGCTGTGTGTCCTCAACTCTGGCTCAGTGTCCAGGGTGGGCAGGTTCCTGACCTCCTCAAGAAGGCCTTGAGGGCTTGTCCTGCTCTCTGCTCCTGGGTCCCCTCCTGCCCCTCACAGGGCACAGGGAGGTGAGGCTGCTGCCCTCTGTACCCTGATTTGGCCTCACTAATGGCCCCTGGTCTGTTTCCTCAGAGTGAGGTCCCTCAGGAGGAAGGCAGCTCAGACAGCAGTGGGTGTGGAGGATGCAGACACTGTTGCACTGTCGTAGTCTAATCCCTCAGGTGAGTGATGCTGGCTTGTCACCCTCCAACATCCTGCTGGACACCTCCCTTGTGATGGCCTCCAGGATTGCTCCACCCAGCATGGCCAAGGCTGAGCCATCTGTCTTCTCTCCAAGCAGCCCTCTGGTCCTGCTGGAACCCCCATCCCACTTATACTCAGTGGCTAAGTCTCTATAGGTAGGGTGGGGCTCTTTTCTTGCCCCCGTCCCTCCGCCAGAGCCCATGAATCACTCACTCCTGTCCTTCCCTCTCCTAAGCAGGGCTCATCTCCATGCCCTTTTCTCCACCCTGACCCTGCTCATCCTGCAGCCTCACCTCTTCCCTGTTCCCTGAATCCACCTCCCCTCCTGCCTTTCATCTCTCCCCACCACAGGCCTCCAGACTGTGCTTCCAGATGCTTCCTTGTCCAGTTCCCACATGATGTGAACAGCTGGTTTTCCTGCTTTGCTGGGGAGCAAGGTGCCTGGAGGAGAGGCCAGGCAGGGTCTGTCCCCTACGGCACTGAACTCCTGACCCCTCCTTTCCCCGCATCACCCAATGCCTCCCCATACCCACCTGGCCATGTCTTCTGTGATCTGAGACTTTGCTGTGGTTCCTGCTCCTGAAACACCCTCCCT